GGCAGCACTTCGGCGGCAGAGAGCAGGGGGGTCTTCACTTGCTCCGGGTGAAGTACCTGCTGCCAAAAACCCAGAGCGAGCGAAGACACCCCTCTGCTGCCAAAGTGCCACCGAGGACCCGGTAGGAAACTGGTTCTTAGGATTTTGGGAGCTCATCACTGGGTACACTAGATTTTTTTTTTTCCTGGGGAGCCAATACGAGTCTGAGATTTATAAGTAAATGATGTTGTTTGAAGCTAAATCTTTGTAACATGCGAATGGCAAAACAAAAATAAAACGTTTTGCTTACTGATGCAGTATAAGCTAGGTTTGTGACCAGATTGATGCAACCTGCTAGTCCGGCGATTCAGAATTGTGAGGATGGGGTTGGAGATAGAAGTGGACAACCCACTGCAGCAGTCAGAGTCTGAAGTCAATGTGTACTGGAAAAAATGAGTATCTTGCTGAAAAGTTTAAGGCCACTGTGTGCCACAAATACATGGTCACAGTCAAGATGTTTACTCTTTTTTTCCCCTTTGCAATTTGCAGAGAAATGGCACTTGGATCAGAGTGGCTGGGCTGGCTTCAATCTTATTACCTCACACAACTGTGCTATCTTATGATGCACCAATTCTACATTTAACATTGTGATTGCTGACTGACTTTGGTTGGTTTAAATGCAAGTTCTCTGCCCAGCTATATAACTGATTAGTGAATAGTGACTATGCCCTCTAATTTGGCAAACCGTATCTGAATTTTCCAGGCATGCTTTAATTAATGTTTGTTCTTATTATGCAGGCAGGATGAAAGAAGAAATACAACTCCCATTACCTCCAACCTATTTTTTAAAGTGCTAATTTGCTTTGCTTGCCACTAAATCACTATGAAATGTGGCACGTTTTGATCTTTGCCCTTTTCTTTTTTTAAAGCTTTTAGGAATCATTAAGTTTAAATGATCAACCTATTTGACTTAAGCTACATAACTACCCAGAGGAGCTCTAGAAGCCCTCAAATCCATAAAGATAGGCACAAGAAAGGGGATGACTTACACAATGTGCAGCCATGTGCATCTTTCCCACTACCTGCTAGGCTGAACCTTTTCCTAATACATTTGGTGCGTACCACTCCGCTTTTGTGTTGTATTCGTGAAGGGAATAGGGGTACCACTGAATCCTCTGACTCACCAGCCTGGGCTCCCGCCCAGCACTGTGCTGCTGTGACAAGCCTGGGGCAGCTCCCGGTCCTACACTTCCACCAGCTTTCACACAGGCAGGGACAAACCCAGCTACAGTTACATGCAGGCTGACCAGCCACTGCATGAGCCAAACTAACCCCCAGCTCCCCAGGTCAGGGGCCCACAGCTGTACCATCCTGCCCCGATCGAAACCCCAATCAGTATGAATTTATTACCCAGTTTGCCTCTCCCTCAACGTGGAGAGGAATATGCACACTTGTGGTAACCAAGCGGAGATTTTCCCCTGACACTTCACTCAAAGGCACACTGGTTTAGATTAAAACATAAAACAAGTGTATTAACTACAAAAAGATAGCTTTCAAGTAATTATACATGAAAGAAAATAGATCAAAGCAGATTACCTAGCAAATAAAACTGCAAACTAAGCTTAAGATACTAGAAAGATTGAATGTGAATTAGCAGTTTCTCACCCTGACTGATGGTACAAACAGGTTTGCAGATTCTCAAGGCACAAGCTTCATTTGCTTTGCAGCTTGGGATCCCCATCCCCATTCCAAGTCCTTTTCTTTCAGAGCTTCTTTCAGGTGTTCACTTATGGGGGAGTGAAGAGCAACAGCTGATGTCACTCCCTGCCTTATAGCGCTTTAGCACAGGGTGGGAACCCTTTGTTCCAAAAACAGTTCCCAGCCCAGTTTGTGGGAAAATACAGGCTCACAAAATAGAGTCCAGAGTCAGGTGGGCTGGTCACATGCCCTTGCAGTCATAGCAGCCATTACTTACAGGCTGGCCGAAGCATCCATAGGAAGGCTCACCAGGTTGGGGGATAAGCTTCTCCTGAGGCCTATTGTTTTCCCTAATAGACCTTGACTGTGAATGGGCCCTTCACAATCAGCTATTTAGACTGGAAGCATCTTGCCTAGTGGGTGTCACCCAGGTGTGACTACATGTGAACTACAGATACATAATTAATATTCATAACTTCAGATACAAAAATGATACATGCACCCAAATAGGATAATCATATTCAGCAAATCCTAACTTTTCCAATGACACCTTACATGCCCTGTATGTACTAAATGCATCATAATTATGCTATAATCATATCAGATCACTATGAAGAATATGGGGTGCATGTCACAAGTGGATTTATCTTTGTGATCCCTGCAAGGCATGTATAGTGGTACAAAGTTGGATAAAGCTGGAAGTGGGGTTACAGATTATGCAATGAGATAAAAAATGAATGGGAGGCAGTAGTAATACAAAATGTAACATTTACTTTGGTTTCAGAGTAGCAGCCGTGTTAGTCTGTATCCGCAAAAAGAAGAACAGGAGTACTTGTAGCACCTTAGAGACTAACAAATTTATTAGAGCATAAGCTTTCGTGGACTACAGCCCACGTGGGCTGTAGTCCACGAAAGCTTATGCTCTAATAA